CCACTCTCACACAGTACAGCTACTAATTTGTTGGATTTGGTTGTATGTTATTTTATTTATATCGTTTTCTGTAATAAAATGATAATCTCGGCAAATTTCGTTGTCTTTATTTTCTCATTCTCAAATGTACCACTTTGGTTCCAGAGATATGTGCGAGAAATGGTTGTTCATGCTTTGATGATTTGTTTTATTCGGTTAAAATGAAAATAGTTGCGTATCCAAGATTCACTCTTGTTCTCTTGCTTTCTCAATCCTTTCGTGTCCCGGAATGTGGCTGATAGTGATCATTCTTTAATTTTGGTTTTCGGTTTTCGGTTTTCGGTCTCGGTCTGGCCTCAGATGATTTGAAAAAGACAGCTAAAGGGATACTGAGAGAAAGAGAGAATGTGCCTTTGGCCATTTTAACTATTTGGGAAGTAATATATGGTTTTAGGCTACCAAAGAAGCAAACATTTATTGCTTGTTCGATAATTAAGAGTTATATCGAGGAGAACATGGAATATTGTACATAAACAAACACCCAACAATCTCGTACTTAACTTAACTCGCAGTTCCAGCGTGTTACATTAAGTGATTCGTATTTTGGCCTCATGAGTTGAACATTTTTGTGGCTTTTCCAATGTTAAATATGTGCAGAGCATTTACTCCGACACAACATTCTGTATTGACTACAGTTTCTAGATTAAGATAAACCATTTTACACCCGAATCATCACTGCCAACTTGGGGAATGACACAATGAACAAACCACTTTCCAGATTACTATCTGCGATCTATTTAAAATTTTACATAAATTTGCACATTTATTCATTTTGTAGTTGTTTGTTATTGACGCGATTAGGCTTGCACTCCGAAATGACAATGGCTCGCAATGCTGCACACTCTCGCTATGGTTTTTTTATTAAATGTATCGCTCGATGAGAGCTGGACAAACGAATGAATGAATGAACGAATGAACGAGCTATCGTCCAGTTTCAATGCACAAATATATATTCAATATGCACAAAATGTATCGCGTCTGACCTTATGTCTGCGGTATCACCACCGAATTCATTCGTGTTATTATTAATGAATCAACTAATCATCGTATAGTAAATTTGGTTGCGTTCTATTGCTAAATATTTGCCATTAAAATGCATCAAACATACAGATGGCCTATTGATTCATTTCATCCATTGGCACACTCAAATTACTGAACAACGACAGTGTGTTCATGTCGTGCGAAAACCACACCACAGCTATTATTAGAGGGCAGAGTAAAAAACGACATAACGGTTGGAAAATATAACGAGATGCGGGCTAAAGCGAAACGAAAATTTTTTTACAATGAATTTCTATGAATCATTCGAGGCAAACCTAAAATGCATTTGGCCAGAGGGTGCCAGAGGGTTGCAACCGTTTTTCGGCACCCGATAATTATTGGAAAATTTTGCGTGGTCACAACATTTCGGTTTATGTTATTAATAAATAACCATTAGCGCTGTTGTCCGCCAACCACATTATCATCATTTTCTAGATTCGAGATTCGAGATTCGAGATTCGAGAGAGAGAGACCATTATTATTAGACAGTTCATTATCGCATCGTATACATATTCTTCATTAATGGGTAAATAGTGATGTTTCAATAAACACGGTTTATCAGTCGACCGTTTGCCATTCACACCAAAATGGAAGAGAAACACGGGAGGTTTGCACTCTTTCACTCATTGTTTGTTCATTTCTCTCTTATTCGAGCTCTCTTTTGCACACACACTTGCCCGATCGCCTGCTCGCTTCATTTTGAATAGTATTCTAATCGTTTGGGGGCGAAATGACGTGCTGAACTTGAACCAATTAATTAGTTGATTTGTAATCAAAATCATTTTACATTAATCTAATCATTGTGAACAATCGTTTAGTTTTTGCGTGCAAATTGAGGTCAACATGAGGCACGTCAACTGTGGTAGTGTTTAAATGACACTTTTTTGAATGATTTATGCTGGATCTTAGCAAAAAAAAAAAAACAATTCATTGGTGAGCGAGAGAAAAACAGAAAAAAGTGGTATTCACTCTAAGAATGAAGTGAATCTCAAGGGCTGTTGTTGGTTTTATTTTTCACAGAAGAAATCATCATAAATCAAATCACGCAGTGCGAATGACAGAGACACAAAGCACCAAAACGAAAGACAGAACGAAAGGAATAAATCAAATCAAATGTCTATTGGTCGTTCGTTCGTTCGCTCATTCGCTCTGCGACATGCTCTGTCTACGAGAGAACAAATATTGCACAATATTTAATTGTGCTTGATTTTTTGCTTCAGCAAAACGGTTATATTTTTGTTCGGTGAGATGTGAAATTCTTGCAAGTTTCGAGAGCACACGACGATGACGAAAAAAAAAACACACACACACACACAGCCAAATGAAGAGCGAAGAGAAAAAAGTCACCAGGAAAATTATAAGCAATTTTATTGATTAATACCATATTTAACGTTGTACCATGCACTTTATTATTTAATAAATTCAGATTAATACGAAAATGTTCCGGCGGGGATTTGTCGTCACAAAATTCCTTCAGCACACGCCGAACCACCGCCATCGCCACGAAACGATCCCCAAAGCGCTACGCGTGCTACGGAAAAATCTCGTCTGACTTGGCATTTATAGAAAATCAATTATGTTGAATGGGTTTTGGAATTCATAACTGGATAAACATTCAATGTGCGCACCGCATCACACTCACTTCCTCGCTCGCTCATTCTCACACTGCCTGTACCTTTTTTTTTGTCGTTCGTTGATGACATTTGCATTGGCACTCTTTCTCTTTATCTCGAGTGGATGATATTGGCGATATTGGTTCACTTTCCACGGTCACAGGTGTTTTAAAATTGCTTTATCGTTTGAGCATAATTTAAATTGTTCAATTTCAATTTGCAATTTATTTTTCATCGACACCGTTGTTGCCAATTAGCATCTCGATACGATATGGTTATCGCTGTCGATGTGAAAACAATTTGTGCCCCCTGTTCGAATGAACGGAGGAAGAGGAAGAGAAACGATGACGACGACAACAAACAATATCAACGCAATGGCCAAATGGATATGTACAGATTGTGGATAGAATGCCATTACCAAGCGAGAAACACAATGCAAAATACACACAAATTCAATGCATTGCTTAATTCATGAATGAAATGAGTACCAAAACCGGAGATGAGTCAATCGTTGAAAATAAACTTGAGACCTATTGACTGTTTGAATTAATGCATTTCCATTGAGCTTTTTCGGATTACATTTTATTTTTTGTTCTTTTCCTTCGTATTGTTTCAATTGGGTGTTTACATTGAACCATTTGATCACAACGAAACAAGTTGTTTATTTTCCGATTTTTCTGAATTCAGTAGATAGATAGGGAGAGGGAGAGAGAAAGAGAGAGAGAGAGAGAGAGAAAGAGAGAGAGAGACAGAGAAAGGTAAATAAATATACAAATCTTGGCATTCAGTTTCGAATGATGATGCACTCGAATTACAAAATTAACAACCAACCCGTTTTTTGTTTCGGTTTGGAGTAATTTTTTTTTTCTGGTTTTATTAAAAAATGTTATCTGTTGATGATGTTGAGCCTCCACATTGGAATATTCATGAATAATCTTGATCACATTTCCAGATAAAGCCTTTTTCAATGAATATTTTGTCAAGAGTAAATGATATGCACAGTATAATTCGGCAGAAATAAATTCGGTGTCACTCGAATGCATCAAATGGGTTCAGCATTGCAGTTATGCATATTTCATTCATAAAAAAACTAGTTGAGTTTTTTTCTTTCGTATTCTATGTCTATGATCGTTTAGGAAATGACAAAAGTGCTCAAATTCATTCACACTGGGTCAAAAGACAATTGCCTGTTCGAATTGAAATATTAATGCGCATTCAATATATTTGGTATCCTTCGTTGAACATCCTTCAAACGGCATTAAATCTATTTAATTCGATTTATTTCTGCATTAATTAACCGCATTGCAAAAAGAGAAGAAAAAAAAACACGCAAACAGAGGAGAAATGACACAATAAATCGCATGTGCAGCTGGTTTGGATGCGCTTTGCAATTGGCTAAAGCTGGTTTCAGTCTATCGTGTTAATCTGTTTGTATTGAAGAGCTCAACATGTTCAACTGACTTTTGCAATAAAGCCAAAAACATTCAATATCGATATGCATGAATCAGGTGACAACAAAGTATGCGAGTGCAATAAATATGTATAATTTTCCATTGCAATGGCTGAATACAGCAATGACGACGGCGGCGGCGGTGGCCGTGGTGCAAAGACGAAAAATGGAATGCCAGATAAGTCCGTTTTTTTTTGTAATAAATTTAATGAGTTCGTTTCATTTCTTTTGCGCACATTTGATAAGGATTTTATGCCAGTTTATGAATTTAATGCAATGATGTGCGGATGATGTATGCAAACGCAAGAAAGGAAGCAACTAAAAGAGTGTAGAAGAGAACGAATGAATGAATGAATGAATGAAAAGGAGATGCGAAATGAAATTGAGTGAGTTAGTTGGAAATGTCTCTTTCTCTCGCTCTTACACTTCGCCCGAACTTTGTTAACCTGAAATGTGTCCTTTGATTTTGCATCTTGTAGACAGTGTCGAGGAGCGATGTGTGCGTATCATATACAGTCACTTGAATGACTTTAAAAAGATAATTTCCATTTGTATGATTCGTGTCGTTGTCGTTATTGTTGAAGTATTTACCTTATTTGTGACACCTTGCGTCTATTTACACACTGAAAATTGGAAAACACAAACGTTGCAAGTAGTTCTGCTGTTGCCGCTGCTGTTGCACGCTACGGTTTTTACTCTGGTTCTCTCACACTCAACATTGCAATATTTCATGGTTTTGTTGGCCGTGTGCTTGATATTTAAATCCAATGTTTTTAGTTCGCATGATACGATGATTTTATGAATTACTGTATCTCGGCATTGCCATTCTGCACCCGCACACTTATTCTCTCGTTTGACAATGACTTATGCGCGCACGCACACACACACACACACACACACACAGCGAGAAAGAAAGTGAGAGAGAGAAAGAGATGGCAAAATGGGAGTGCATATTATGTTATAATTGCTTTTTTAGAAATATTCTTTGTGAATACTATGCATTCCACATCGACACATCAGCGCTACCCGAGTTGTGTGTGTGTGTGTGTGTTTTCCATACTTGAAAGAGCCCATTTGAATCGTAACAAAATGCTATAAATTATTATATATATATGCACTAAGGATATTTTAAATATCATGATTTTATTATATTTGAAAAAAAAATTATGTGTGAAAGAAGTGGAAGAAGGACGATGACGACGACAACGACGACAACGACAGCAACAGCAGCAGTGGCAGTAGCGGTAGTAGCAACCGCATAACTGTCACAGAGATAACAACAGTCACGTCTATTCATTCATCTGAGCATGGTGGCTATATTATTGCTTTTCAATGTTCAATCATAACAATTTTGTGATGTTGTTTCGCGTCGTACATACGCTCGTATATTTCTCATTCGTTCGTTGTGATTGTTACAAACTGTCGTTACAATTGTACGTTGAAAAGTTGATGGCTTCAATTTAAAATGACACAAACTAAAAGATATGACACAATATTTTCAACTATATTCCTTTCATCGGTTGTCTTCGTCATCGTCATCGTCATCGTCATCATTGCCGAAGCTTTCCACATATGCTGCTGCTTGTTGCCTTTTTAATCATATCAAACATGCATGTATCTGCTTACATTTTCCATTCGATGGTTTGACTACTGTTGTTAATAACGTAAATCGTAGCAAGCAAATCGTTGTGACAAATAGCAGGAGTGTTGAGTGTGAATGAAATGCGAGGCTCAAATTTTGCGTAAATTTTACATAATCAGGTCGTTTTGATTCCTGTTGTGAAACCTTATCTTTTTGCTGGGAAAGTTTTCGTCTCTTAACACACACACACCAAAGGGAAAAAACTTGTTTTCCCCCATAAATTTATTACGAACACACGCCAAACATACACACAATCAACCACTTGAGGCGACAATTAATTGTCACTATTGAGGCTTGCGCGTAGTTAAGTAGTGCTTTAAATGTAATTAAGGCGGCATGCGGCAGTATTTGATGCCGAAAGCCCCCCCTCCCTCATTTAATGAACGTTTTTGATTTGATTATATTATGATCGTTTAAACTTAAATAAAACTGAAAACTTGTTCAAACAAATCTGTCTCTCTGTCTCTCATTCTCACTCTCACTTGATTGTTTGTTTAATTTGTACTTACGCAAATAATGGAATTAAATGCTCGCTTATTTATTTAAGCAGTACACACAGCAAATGAAAGTGCATGGGGCGCTTGTCATTATGTGAACACATGTTGGAAAAAAGTGCTTTGCCATTTTTACCGCATTCACTTTGTTCATTGAAAAAATCACTTCGTTTCAAAAATGTATTTGTACGGGATGAAAAATTCAATTCAGAGATTGGTCTATGGGTTTCTTTTTTTCATTTTCTCGATTTTAAAATTGGAGACCAAAAACCAGTTGGATATTTCAGACTTAAAATTTTCAGCTCGTATGTTACTTGGTGTTTATTTTAAGTTAACAAACAACTAAAAATCTGAGGAAAAAAAACTTCAGAAATATATTAAAAAACAAGAACTGTCCAAGGATATTAGATTCAATTTAAAAATTAAAGTCTACAAGAGTTGGAAATTCTACAGTGAAATTCCCGCATTTTCTCAGACATTAACTCTCCCCCCCCCCCCCTCTCTCTCTCTCTCTCTCTGAATTTTTGATAGAAACCAAATTCCAAATAAATACAGACATCACAACGTATTCAGTTTGATTGAATGCAAAACAGTAATTCCATAAAATGTATATGCGATAGTTGCGTTGATGTATGTGCATGTGATGTTGGTCGCATACACACAAATGATATAACTTCGGCGCTGTGGTTCTTCATGAATTCATCAGATATTCCATTAATAATAAGCATTTTAGAATTTCAGAGTTTAACAGTTCAGCACATTCAGAGCGATTTGCATTTATCTGAAAAATGGTTTTCATAATTTATCAGATTAAATCTATCAATTACGGGTTATATATGCCTTATGACTTACAGATTGTGTTTCACACAATACAAGCAGTTCACTTCAGTTTATGTCAGTGTAGGAAAAATGCGATGATGTGCCCCATTGCACGTTCATCAGATAAAAAATTAAATAAAATGAAATATGAACGGATTTACATATGAGAAAACACAATTATGGTTCTTTTGATTCAGACAAAAAAAATTCGAAGAAAATATGGTTTGAGTTAGACAACACAACACAGTCAATTGTTATTCAAATGCACTTCAGATGATTGGAAAGGAATAAAGTGTCGTTGCTTGAATGCGATATGAAATATTAAATATCAAACCAAAAGTTTCATAATACGAATGCAAACAAAAAGATTTTCAATAGCAAGCGACATCGCTTGCTCTCCGACCCTTATTCACTATTTTTACCGAATTTTTTCTCTTAAAAACGACATAAATGTGGAGACAGAGGGAGAGCGAGAGAGAGAGAGAGAGAGAGAGAGAGAGAAGGGTCATCAAAACTCATACCTAAGCCTCAATTAGTATTTACGAAATGATTCTGTAAATGGTTTACTCATTTCTATTTCATCCATAGAGTTTGAATATCTGTATGCTTTTCTCCTCAATTTTTTTCTTTATCATATCACTGGATGTGATTATTTTCGTGCATAATAATTTTTAGATGTGTGATTCTGTAATGTTGCTATCGCTTATGGTTCGTTTATTATTCAATTTATCCAAAAAAATAAACCAAATTGAGGCGAAACAGTAGTTTAAACCTTCAGTTCAAAACGTTGATTTTTCCTTCAAGAGACAAACGGATATTATAATTGATGGTTTTTTGTCTTACACATGGGCCGCACCGAGCAATTCGACTATTCGGTTGATTATGTTTTAGATAGATGAACCGAAAACATAAACTAGAACAATCATTTTATTTATTTATGTTAGATTTTCAACACTTGTCATATGTCAAGCATCAAGTGTCTTGATGCGAACCACTTTGAAGTTGCTGGTTCAGTCAGCAAAGTTTGAATTATGATAAACTGTGCTCATTTTGGCAATATTTCGGCCACCAAAACACTTGCTTCGAGGCACTTGTCAAGAAATTGGAGCAAACATCCGATCATGAACCAAATTGACTCACAATCGATGCGCGTAGCATGTAGCATGTTGGTCAATGTTGTATTGTTGACACATTCCATATTGACACCGCAAGCTATTTGATGCTCCCAACATATGACTAAAAATCAAGTCCACTGCGACTCGACTCGGTCCGGCTGTTCCATTAGCGTCAATCATGTTATTGACTCATATTTACAAACAATTTCACTCTGTTCGCCCGTTGATTCTCGATATTTCTCAAAGACGAGCGAGATAGAGAGAGAGAGAGAGAAAGAGAGAGAGAGAGAGAGAGAGAGAGAGAGAAACAGCAATTCAAAATGCTGCGATCCGAACTCAATTTGTTGTTTCACTGTGTATTAAGCGTTTGAATTGCAGATGCGCCGCGTTGAGAAATGTTCTTAAGATCGCAAATAAATCGGATGAGCAAATGTCAAAAAAAAAATGATGAAAGTACAATGGCATCAACAGAGACAACAGAAATTGTGTATCTTGCTGGCTTGGTGCAATTGCGTTCCTCTGAACGACTAGCGATAAATTGTGAGAGCAAATAATCTCTGTGATGGGGTCATTTACATGCACGTTTATCATCGCCACATTGCAAATGTAACGAAATCGAAATTTCACTTTCATCGCAATGCCGTCCTTAAGAAGTACAGAATGAATCAATAGTGGGGGAGATAGAATTGCAATCAAGTGCTCAAAAACCACTTGACGTATGTATTTTAAAGATCTCTCTTTTATTTTTCATAACATCAATGGCTTTGTTTAGGATGCTATAAACTTAAAACTAAATTTAAATTACTTTATTGAGATCGGATGCTTTGAAATGCTTGATATTTTTCATTATCGTCAATACCAATTGGAACTACTCAATATGATAAATACATCAAAGTATAAATATTGTTTCCATTTGTGTTTCGTAGGCGAATTCATGGGAGATATTGCACTGCCAAACATAAACTATGAGAGTCAATGGCAACAACAGAGAATGAATAAGACATTCCAACAGGAATTGGAGCAATTAAAGCAGGAAGTACACTACGAAGGTTTGCAAGTGGAAGAAGAGGGCCTAACGGACATAATCAGGAAAAAAACGAAATTGCCACCAGACACAAATCCCATATCGAGCGACAATGATCCTAGTAAAAATGATGCCATATTAGTGGTGAGCCTGTCTACTATTGTTATGATCAATGAAAATGAAATAATTCTTCGGCTTCCTTATGCTTCTTAGCTTTCATGTGGCCTCACCCCCTCTACCATTTAAATATTTACCTAATTTGTTTTGAATTTGCTGATAAATTAGGAGCCAAACCACGTGCCAATTGTACCATACGCCAAAGAATCCACCAAACCATACAATGGAACAATAAATGCAAATAATGATACCGCACTCCAGTCGGGTGTAAATGAATCCATTGAGCGGAAAATCGTTTTCGATGCTGTGAATAACACGAATTTAGAGAGCCAAGCAACAACAATTTCGGATGAAAAGCCGGTGAAAAATCTAAGCAATGTATTTCGTGATATTGATGCGAAAAAAATTCAATCAAATGCCAAAGATATTGAAGACGAATCGACAAACATTCTACAATCACGGCGTAACATACAAACTGATTTGGGCACAAGCAACGGCAGCGGTAGCAGCACCACGACGACGACGACAACAACAACGACAGCCATACCGACAATAAAAAGCGCACCGAATTCAATTTCGTCGTCTGTTAACGATGCATCGACAACAGAGCAAACGAATTTACCTCAAACCAACCAGCCGAATGTTGACAATGTTGAAGCCGAAGCCGTGTCACAAAAACGTCATCGAAGACATCGTCAACAAAGGTAATCACAAATGCCGTTTTTTTTCTTCTGTTATTTCTTGTTGCTTTTTTGTCGCTTCTGTGCGAGATCGCGTCGAGCTGAGATAAAAATCGATTCAGAGTACAATAAGTGTATGTATGCAAAAATCGGATTTTCAGACGTGAAGCCAAAGTGGATGGAGACAGTTATCGCCAAAAAATTGTTGACAACACGTATGAAGCGCGATTGAAGCGTTTGAAAGAGGAACTGAATGGTCCAACCGTTACGGAAATCATTCAAATGCACAAACGACAGGAGAAAAATCAAACGTACGATGATGATGATGATGACAAAGACAAGGATAAAAATGGGATTTTGGAAGAACAGCCACCGATGCAACAACAGGAGCAACAACGAGAACAATTGCAAAAAAACACAACCGAACCATTCAATTCCGACACAATGCCGTTGGATCAATCATTTGACCGCGAAAGGTAATTGTTGTTGATTAAAAACTCTGAATAATTTACTATTAAATTTAATTCATGCAATGGCAATTCGCATGTGATTCCAATAACCAACGAAACACACACACACACACACACACACACACATGCGCACACAAAACAAATAGGTTGAAAGAGCTACACCGACATCATCGCATTACAAGAGCGGCAACGGCAAAAAAAGAGAGAATCTGGGATTATGGCGTTATTCCATATGAAATCGATGCAAATTTTAGCGGTGCACACAAAGCTTTGTTCAAACAAGCCATGAAACATTGGGAAAATTTCACATGCATCAAATTCGTTGAGCGCAATCCGAATGATCACATGAACTACATCATATTTACCATTCGTCCGTGCGGGTAAGACAACCGTTGTTTGTTGCATGGATTGTGTGTATATTAAAAATTGCAATAATAATTTAAAAAATTAAACAAAAAAAACCTGCGTTGAATAATACAGTTGCTGTTCGTTTGTCGGAAAGCGGGGAAACGGCGGCCAAGCCATATCAATTGGAAAGAATTGCGATAAATTCGGTATTGTGGTACATGAACTTGGTCATGTAGGTGAGTTGCACCTTGCGAATTTTATTTCTCTCGTTTGTTATGTCTCGCTGAAATTGCACGCGTTTCATTGTTTATACACAAACCAATCCGAATAATAACAACAACAACAAAAGAGCAGATTGCACGCAATCAATCAATCCACATCGAATTCTGGAATTCTGTTTATTTGATTTTTCAATAATTCACAACTATTTTTTTCACTCAATTTTATAAATAATTAATGCACTTGATATTCGGCCGATGAATCCAGGCTAATTATTCAACGACGCGCTGCTTTTCCGGATTTTTGTTGTTTTTCCTGTGTGCACCACTTGAATGAATCATTTGGTAGAATGTTGTTTATTTGGTGTGTATTAATGAATCAATTTGCAGTTGGTTTCTGGCACGAGCACACCCGACCGGACAGAGAGAATCACGTTGTGATTGAACGCGCCAACATTTTGAGCGGACAAGAGTATAATTTCAATAAACTTACTGCCGAAGAAGTGAACTCATTGGGACTGCCATATGATTACGATTCGATTATGCATTATGCGAGAAACACATTCTCAAAGGGCACATATCTCGATACCATTTTTCCGGTGGAAATTAAAGGCAGGAAACGGCCTGAAATTGGTCAACGTCTGCGATTGAGCGAAGGTGATATTGCCCAAGCAAATTTGCTGTACAAGTGTCCAAGTGAGTGATTTTATTCCGTTTGTAATTTTGAATGGAATCGACATTATTGATTTTACCACCTGGAACAATTGTGATGACCGATTCAATTCACATTCATTTCTAATTAATTTCGTATCAATTTCTCTGATTTCCTTTTTTCGATTTCCATACACAGAATGTGGCCGAACATTCCAAGAAAACTCTGCCTCATTCACATCACCCAGCTACTATTCAAGCACACCAGGAGTGGAACCAGAGTCATGCGAATGGCGTATAACTGCCACACATGGAGAGAAAATTGTGCTAAACATCACCGATTTGGTATGAACAGCAATTCATTGAAATTAATTCAGCTCTTTCCTCTTTGTTTGCCACGCATTCGACTGAAACAAATTGCTGGATTTTAATGAGAAATTTCATTAATTTCATTTCAATGGGTGGAAAATTGCAATTCTCATTGCAGGATATTTTCAAATCAAACAACTGTCGCACGGACTATTTGGAAATTCGCGATGGATATTGGCATAAATCGCCAATTCTCGGTCGCTATTGTGGTTCCGGCCGAATTATGGAATTTATTAAATCGGGCAGCAGTCGAATGCTGCTTACGCTTGTTACGACACACAGGCAAGTCGGCCTACGTGGTTTTGCTGCCACTTATGAAGGTAAAATGATAAAATTCAGATGTATTTCGCATTCTTCACTCTCAACCGATCGATTCATTTCAATTTTGAAAAATAAGCTGTTTGTGGCGGTGATTTGACGCTGGAAAGTGGAAATCAACTCGAATCGCCCAACTATCCGCTAGAGTATTTGCCAAACAAAGAGTGCATTTGGCGTATCACCGTACAAGAGGACTATCAAGTGGCTTTGAAATTCCAATCGTTTGAAGTGGAAAATCATGACAATTGCGTGTATGATTACGTTGAAGTTCGCGACGGTGATAGCCCTGACTCTCGTTTGATTGGCGTATTTTGCGGCTATAAGGTTCCACCAGATATGAGGTAATGTTTGATTTAACAAAAACATTGAATTCCAATTGGAAAAAGGTCACAATTTAATTGATACGATTCCGACTACAGATCAACAACCAACAAGATGTTTGTGAAATTCGTATCGGATGGATCGGTGCAAAAGGCTGGTTTCTCTGCGACATTCATCAAAGAGTTGGATGAATGCGAGTTAAAGGATCATGGATGCGAACACAATTGTATCAATACACTGGGTGGATATCAATGCTCTTGTAACATTGGATACGAGCTGCACAGCGATAAGAAGACTTGCGAAAGTGAGTAGTTAATTTGAAATTCTAAGACTTATTTTACAATCAGCATTATGATTTTCCATTGAAATGTGATCAAAATGATATAATTCTATTCTCCAGATGCGTGCGGCGGAATTATTGAAGCTTTAAATGGTACAATTACATCACCCTCCTTCCCCGATGTGTATCCAGTATCAAAAGATTGCACGTGGGAGATTGTGGCCCCAGAACAATATCGCATCACATTGAACTTTACACATTTCGATTTGGAGGGCAATCATTTCCATCAGCAGGAGTGTGACTACGATTCGCTAACCGTTTATTCAAAGTTAGAGGATAATAATTTGAAAAAGCATGGCATTTTCTGTGGCGAACGAATGCCACCGTTGGTTACATCGGAGGGGAATACAATGCGTATCGAATTCCGTTCAGATAATACGGTGCAAAAGAGTGGATTTGCTGCTGTATTCTTCACCGATATCGATGAATGTGCGGTTAACAACGGTGGATGTATGCACGAATGTAAGAACACGATTGGATCGTATGTGTGCTCATGTCATAATGGATATGTTCTGCACGACAACGGATTGGATTGCAAAGAAGGTGGCTGCAAGTACGAAATCACCGCTCCACATGGAACAATTATGAGTCCAAACTATCCCGATTACTATCCACGGAAAAAGGATTGCGTTTGGCATTTCACAACAACGCCGGGACATCGAATTCGATTGCATTTTAACACATTCGAAGTAGAACCGCACCAGGAATGTGCCTATGATTATGTGGCCATTCATAACGGTGATTCGGTTGATAGTTTCACATTAGGCAAATTTTGCGGTTCAAAATTGCCGCATCCAATTTCAGCATCATCGAATGAAATGTTTATGGTATTCAAATCAGATGCCAGTGTCCAGCGACAAGGTTTCACCGCAACACATTCCACGGCATGTGGCGGTCATCTGATGGCTACCACTCGGGTCAAACATTTCTATTCGCATGCTAAATTCGCTGACAACAACTATGATCACAATGCCGATTGCGATTGGACAATTGAAGCGGAGCCCGGTCGAAATGTTCATTTAACATTCTTGACATTCGATGTGAGTGAAGATTTGTTTTTAAACCGAAGAAAAACATTATTCATTTGTAAATTATTTTCATTTTGAATTGTATACTTAAACAAAAAATACGATGCTCCAATTTTAGATTGAGGAAGAGAAGGCGTGCTCTTATGATTACGTTGATATTTATGGCGGTCTTGACGATTACAGTGGACCTTTGTACGGCAGATACTGCGGCCTTAATGTGAGTTTTTTCTTTACTTTCAGCACAGAAACATCAATCAAAACTGAATCCAATTCAAATATCAAATTTATTTCGAGGGTAAATTGTATATTTTTCTTTCATTCCATGCAGAAACCTCCCGACGTAATATCGATGAATGAAGCACTGTTGGTTCGGTTCCGCTCCGATGGCACAATGAATAGAAAAGGATTTTCAGCTTCATATGTGGCAGTCGATCCGTTTGAGGGTAGCGAAGAGGAGATCAGTTCGGATTCTTCAGAGATGGTCACCCCATTTCCCGGCTACATGCGTCCCAGTGTGTACGTGAACAACAACAAATTGGGCAGCCGAAGCGGTGACAACACTGACAACACCGATGACACAGATAACGAAGAAGAGAGTTACAATGAATACGACAATTATAATTCGATAAAGTTAAATAATAAAAGTAAAAAAACCGAACAATCGGAAAACGGTTTGATTGATTAAAACATTCAGCATATGACACACGCATACATCAGAATTTTAACAAACGAAAGAAAAAGAGAGAAAAAAAAACAAATACAAATCGTTGAGTTAATGGCCATACATAAGTGACGAAGAAAAAAAAGAAAGAATAATCTCATTAGCATAGTATTAAACGTCAATAACAAAAAAAAATAATAATTTAACAACAAATCTCTGCACAAAACATTTCGTATCAAATATGAAATACGTTACATAGGCTATTTTCTATTTAATCGAAACTAAAGAAAAAAAATGTGAATTCAGTTAGAAGAGTGCTGAATATCCTGTACCATGTAATTTTCGCGATGTTTCAGTGTTTGTTGACCGGCAACGCCACCACACAAAATGCATCCTGCATTTTCCGTTTTTTTTTCTTCATCAACGATACACCAAATACGAACGTCATATTCAGTGAACATAATTTCTTTTCAACGTGTGGCGGCTGTTGAACGTCAAAGTCATTTGAGGCCACGCGAGCGCTCCCAATTTCAAAGGGCACATCAATGTAATTTAACATTTCAAATCGGAACTAAACAGTGCGCCAATTCGAAATATAGAAAATATAGTGTCAACAGCCGCACCATGCTTTTCAACGCATGAAATAAATATATTTATTTAAAAGTGACAACGAAATTTGCAATAAACGCAAACATTTCTGTGCTTCTTTGCATCCTGTGGCAAAGAAATTCTGTTAATTGATTCTTATTCTTGAGTTCATCGAAAAAAAAAAAAATGTGTAATTGACAAAACCAAAATAATAAAATAGATTGAACCAAAGCAATAATTATGTGGTACTGATTAATTTAGTACACATATGTCACATTCATCACAGAAAAAAAATCGTTTAATTTAAACAAAATGTAGAATGTTATACATTTCGTTTTTTATACAATCATTTTATTAAATTGTAAGCGAACAAATTTAATTATTTTATTTATATGTGTAATTTGTGGGATAAATAACTCATCAACCAATAACAAAAAACCGGATGGTTGTTTTCATATCAACTAGAGAGAGGTGACAATGTCACCGTGACATTTATCGTCAAATTGACATAGAGAAGGAAAATTGTTGACAGATTTTCGTAGAATACCACCTGTTCGTACATTTTTAGGGTTAAATCATCATGAAATTATCTACTATTCTTTTTTTTCGTATTTATTAAGTTAATTATTATGTACCAATTGAAATCAGGTTGAATTATTTGTATTGTTTTCGAAAAATCAAAACAAGAAAATCATTTTTTTTTTCAAACATCTTCCGATACTTAACAATACATGTGTTGATCCACATTGTTGTTTCTTTTCATGTTGAGTCCTTTAGTCGAGGGAAATATCGTGGATCACTCTTATTTACACAAAATTTACCATATCTGTAACCAAAGTACTAAATATTACAAATGAAAACCAAACTAAATACTTCTTTTTTTTTGAGAATACTTATTTAGAAATAGTTGCATCTCTTTTAACAATAACGAGACAAACAAAAATGAAACAAATATTTAGGTTAATGATACAAATTGAGCAAAACAAAAACCAAATATTTACATAGACATTGGTCAAATAAAAATTTAGTGAATACCGATAAAAAAAACAGTGGCTTTATTTTTGTTCAATTTTTTTCTAGGAGATCTGCTTGGAATAATCTGAATGCAACATCAAACAATTATAACACATTTCATTTGGAAATGAAATTTTGAATGAAATATTGTGATGTACATGCATTTTTTCGTATTACATTTGAGTGGAACGACTGTGATGGAACTCATTCATTTCAATTACTACAAAGAATATTCTCGTACAAAGGCACAAAAATACTCATTCTAAATATGGAATGATTCTGATACGTCATAGACAATTTTCAAATGTTATCAAATTATAAACAAATCAATTGCCATGAGTTTTTTTTCTTCTATTGAACTCAAATTTCATGCAAAGTTGTCTGCTATTTAATATGCTAAAACTGTAATCTCTATTATTTAATTAAAATTTTGGCAAAGAATCTCTCTATTTTGTTGATAAATATAAAAAAATTAATATTGAGATCGAAAAAATTATTAAAAAAAAAAGAAATGTGCCAACGACACATGGTGTTCCCAGACGGTCACCCATTCAAGTACTAACCATGCTCAATGCAGCTTAACTTCAGTGATCGGACGAGAACTGGTGCTTTTTACATGATATGGTCGTTGACGAATATAAACCGCTGTTGTACGTTAGCGTGTCGCTAATTCTTAATGTCAGAGATATTGAATATCTACAATATTTTCTAAAAGTAAATTCATCGTTCGTCATAAGTAAGTAAGAACACAAGAATTTAAAATGCGAGAACGAAAATAATGCATTTGCTAATATTCTTTAGTTTCGATTTAAAATCAACAGTTCTCCAAAATGTCAGAATTTAAATGTCTCCTCATGAATATATTGATGTCTTTTATCAATACATTTCATTTGTAAACAAAATTCGCACAATTTTTCAGTCATTCTTCAAATAGTTCGTTGGGTTTTTGAAAATAAAATATAAAAACATCAATTCTACGAAATAAATACGGATAAATCTTCGATAAATTTAGTGGTCGGCTCGTTTATTCACACATTTTGTTCAGTTGCGATTCAATCTGTTTTGTGTTCGTGCAACGCCCACATTTGACCGCATTTAAAGCCGCTGAGTTAAAATTTCGTTGCCGGACAAAAGACGTTGGTATATAGAAGTAAAAAAATGTAATTCCTATTACTTTATTACCTACTTATTACTGTAATAAGATGACCTATTACTTATTACTCATCTTATTACTTTGTAATAAATAATGTAAAAATTCATGTTCAGTTCGTGAAACATTCAGAAATTTGCGTTCAATTTATGGTCAAATCAATCGCCCGACAGAATGCACTATTCAACGTATTGTGAAAAAATTCAACTCCACGGGCTCAGTTTGTGATGTGAAGACACCGATTCGACAGCGTACGGGCCGATCTGTGGAAAAAATCGCCACCGCAAGTGCCAGTATTGAAGCCGCTCCAGAAGTGTCTGTTCGTCACCGAGCCCCTTTCGCCGACCATTACATGGCGAATTTTGACCAGGGATCTTGGCTTACATACAAATAACATCCAAATAACTCGTTTACTTGAGCCAGATGACCATTTGAAGCGTCGACAATTTGCGGATTGGGCCCTAGATCAACAGAAAGCGGATCCTGATTTTGGCTCAAAAATCATCTTCAGCGACGAGGCGCATTTCTGTCTAAATGGCTATGTTAACAACCAGAATTGTCGCATTTGGGGCGCGGAAAATCCTCGGCACATTCAAGTGGTTGAAATGAAACCGCAAAAGTGCACTGTTTGGTGTGCTTTTAGGTCGAGAGGTGTCATTGGCCCGTACTTTTTTGAGAACGAAGATGGAAAGCGAGTTAATGTCAATGCCGAGCGATATCAACACATGATTCGTGAATATTTCTGGCCGAGATTGCGTCGGGTGAGAACCAGTGGGCTACCATTCCAACAAGACGGCACCTCATCACACACAAGTCCACCAACAATCCAGGTTTTGAACGAAAAGTTTGACAAACGCGTAATATCGAAAAATGGTATTGTGAATTGGCCGGCAAGATCTTGCGATTTAATACCATTAGACTACTTTCTTTGGGGTTTTATCAAAGGAAAAGTTTATGCGAATAATCCGTCGACGATTGAGGATTTGAAGGCCAACATTCATCGCGAAATCACCAGTGTTCCAGTCGAAATGTGCCAAAATGTCATCAAAAATTGGGCCGATCGGATGGTGTCACTAAAACTCACGGGATGGTCATTTGGATGATATCATTTTCCATTATTAATGTTATGAATAGGGCTACAAATTACATTAAACAACTCGGATATATTCGAATATTTTCTGTGTTTTGTTTCATTTTAACGTTCGGACACTCTTATTGAAACACCCTTTATACACTCGTTTGGATAAACATGCAAACCAATGCAATGGGTGGCTGGCCATTTTTATAAACAAAATTTACTTGGAATGGCATTGAGAGGATATGTTGGAATATGTTGGTTTTCGTGAATATACCGAGAACTCAAAATTTATTTGTGATTAAGTTGTGTATACACAACTTGTGCTGTTGGAGTCAACTTGTGCTGCCAGCAAAAGAATTTCAGCTTATGATACCTAAAATTGCTATTGAATCAATGTAATTGAGAGTATTAGAAATATTATTTAAATTGAAATTGAATAAAAGTCGAATTTTTATAGAAACGGTAAAAGTGTTTTGTACAAGAGCTAGGTGAATGTTTTTCATTGCTGTCGTTGGGGAAATTCAATGTTTTACAAGGAAAAAAGATTACAATTTGAGTGCATATCACATTTCAATATAGAGTGAGGTCATTAAGTTGCTTTTAATTTAGATAAAATTAGACAAATAAGCCGAATTCAGTAGTCAAGTTCGTTTAGATATTGCACTAAATGATTAGATAACAAACGATCCATAGTAACAAGAAATGATGATAATATCCAAATAAAAGATTTTATAAGCAGCATATTCTAAGCAGATTTCATTTGTGTAAGAACAAAAACCACAAAAGTTTTTATATTTATTTTCGCGTTCATTATTAATTTAATATCCTGAAAAATGATTGAATTGTGCAAATTCCCGGGCAGAATATTCGTTGATTTACCAATTTTATTTCTTATACAGAAAATCCACCATATTTAATGGATTTTACGTTGGTTAGAGGTATATGTGGTGATTTATTAAGTAATAGCCAATTTAAAATGTGTACATCCGCAATATTCATTCGATAAAAATAACACACTTAAATCCATACGTGATGATAGCAAAATTATGCATAGTACTGTTGAACCCCCGCTGATGAGACTACGGCAATTCTGCATCCTAAAATATGAAAGAAGATTTTATTATTCAATATTCAACATTGTTTTCCATTTTTGTATACACAATCTGACCTTTGGGTACTTTGTAACGAAGCATTTAAAAGTTAGATACGCTGTATCACATCTAGTATCACCATCTAAAAAGACAATATTTTTGGGGTTTTTTTTTTGTTAATTTGTTCCCATAGACAAGACGACACATGAATATTTTGTAAATAATTACGAATGGTTCCGCAATCGTTGGTTGCATCTTGGAATGTCTCCTTCATACTAGGTGTGAAAAGATGGTAGATTTTAGAGAAATCCACTACTCCGGCATCGTCTATTATACCCGAATGCTCCATAAGACACAGCACGTAACATCTTAGCTCGGGAATATCAGGAAGATTGCCATTTTTACTTTCATCTATATATTTCTCATCTACACCCGTTTGCTCTACACATCCCTTACGCATTTGTTTTAGCGGTGCTCGCAAATGCTCTGCAATGTCTAAAGCCTATAAAAGAGAAACGAACGAATAACCACTATTTTCACTTCATATATATAACAAATTTCACAAAAACCGCTGTCTATTTCTATGTCAAGGAGTAAAGAAATGAAATTCGATACGTACAGCAAGACTTAGCCCGACAACATTCAACACAACGAATAAGAACTTCATTTTTTTCTCTGTTTTCATTACGAATTGATTTGAAGGCGTCAACGTGCTTACTTATATAGACAATTTTCAACGGCCTTAGCGACCACCAAAAACTTTTTAAAAATAGCCAACCACAATTTTTATTATAGTTTTTCTAAGATCAAATGAAGTGCAATTCGTTTGAATAAGCTCAGAATAATCGTTTTGAACAACATTTGTCATTGTTAGCTGATGATTATCTACTGAAATAATACCTATTATATATATAAATCATTTCCTCAAAGTGCTATTGCTATTGTTTCATCACTTCATGAAAATCTAATGAGACGTCACCAAAGCAACTGACTATTTTAGCTTTTTGCATTGTCATTGACCATGTATTAGAAGTGATTGTTTCTTTAAATTTCATATCATTCCGGATAAAACATTGTTTTTCTTTGAAACAATGAAAATTTCCATTCAATCATATTATTTAGACTATTTAACGTTATAATTTAGAGTATAACAAAAGCTTCCGACAATGATGTGTAGATTCGTATTATCTGAACCAATTAGTTCACTAAATGATTTTGTTCCCTTTGTATCATTACTATAGAATAATCTAGAAGAAGATTAAATTTGATTGACTATCACAGAATGAAGAGAGAAGTTTTTTAATCGCAACCATTTTCCAGATGAAATAACAGAATTTTTAAAGTCAAATTCAAGTTAAATATCACGAAAAACGTTAGTACGCATATTTAGAATATTCAAATTGGCGCCAAATTTGGAATACAACAATTGTGACACTGTGGCATATGTCATGGCATGACGTAACGCTACAGTCACAACTGTCAAAATAGAATGGGGAAAGCATGAGCGCAAGAAGAACGACCGGTGACTGAAACATTTTAATTTTTCATTCATAGATTATTTTAGAAAAAAAATCAACTAAAATGTTCCGTTTAATTTTGGCACAAGCTAAAAAACCCATTGATTTGTCTGCATTCACTTTGACATTCTGTGCAAAGGCTACAATTGGCCGTCCAATACGAGGTAATGTCAACACAAGTAGTGGGTTCTAAAGTTGTAAACATGTTTTTTGTGTGTTGTTCTCAACGTATAATTCCAGTTTTAATTCAGAAAGTGAAATAATGTGTGCATCGTAAATTGTAAATTCAGTGCATACATTAGATTAAAGAATATACCTAAGCTATTTTCACAAACAAATTCAGCATTATATAACACTGAATTTATGCTCAAAATGTAAAGAACATAAAGAAACTAAACACTTTTGTATTCCCACAGAGATCAGCGATGTGAAAATTAGTAGAACATTGAACACCGACTCATGTGTGTTTCAGTGTGGAACCAAGCAATTTCTAGTCAATACAAATCAATCACTATCAATTAACTCATCATTCTGTCAGTAAGTTTTCTTCCCACTAAATATGGTTCTTTTTTTTTTCTAAAATAATTTTTCCATTCCTTCCCATATCAATAGTAATTATGCAACGGATGTGACGAATGGAAAAATTGACAAATTAAAGAGTTTAAGTGACTTCATAGCAGAGTTAAACGATCGTGTGAGAAATAATAATCGAATATCACAGTATGAATTGAAAATACTACACAACAAGATAGAAACGCAAAAAGTTACCAACGAACAAGCATTGGTTATATTACGGTTTTGTTCATTTGGCCGCCTCGATCAGAATCTCAGCGAAACGGTGAAAAGCATTTGGTATGAGCTCGAGAAACACGGACACGAATTGGGCACACAACATTACAACTATTTGCTTCAATTTGCAAGTGACAAGCAAGACGTGAACCTCACACAATCAATATTCGATGAATTGATTAGCGATGGCATTGAGCCTGATGCGTAAATGATGCGAAATCTCTTTTGAAGAAAAATGTATTAATCTAAATATTTCTACTTGCAGCACCTCCTATCATTGCTTGTTATCAGTGTATTGTAAATGCGGCAACATCCGAATGGCCAACGAAATTCTCGATATGATGGACCAAAATCAATTGTCGATCGATGAACGTTCATTCAATAATGTGATTCAGTGTCACATCATTTGCGGGTAGGGCTTCTTTTGAAAGCGGATCGATTGGATCCTGTAATTAATTCAATAACTATGTTGAAATAACTATTTAATTCAAAAATGTGTATTTGAATTGCATATAGAAATATTGAAGCCGCCAATGAAACGATTGCTACTTTGAACAAAAATGGATTCAAAATAAATCGGGATACGTTGACAACACTGTTAAGCCATTATGCTAAGGCTGGCGATTTGGAAAATATCCGAAAAACCATTGCAACATTCGAAACCGAAAATATTGAGTTGTTGAATTACGATATTCTCAATGTAATATGCGAATCAGTTGCCAGTGGACATGCTGATAAAATCGATACGCTGTTCGAATACTTGAAACCGAATGCTGAATTGCGAACATCATTGCCAAATGCAATAACATTATTCGTTACAAACAAGCAATCGATCATTTTGCCGAAGATTCTTCAATTTGTCGATAAAGCTGGAGAGGCTGGCGATATCAAATCATTATACAAGCATTTAATCAATGATATGGTTCGTTACGATACATCTGAAGAAGAATTTACCGCGACAATAAAATTGATTGAAGCAACTGGATTCACGGTGAAAAATAGCTTTGAAATGTTCAAGCCGGCGCTGAAGAGTTCATCGGAAGTAATGATTCGCCAGCTACTGGCGCATATGAAGACGAATGGAATTGAAGTAACAGATGTTGCATTTGAGAAATTGTTTCAACTGTCGGCCGGAAAAGGTGTCGATGCCGTATTGGAAGTAATGAACTTAATGTGTACCGATTTTAAAATATATCCACATATCGCTTACATTCGTGATGTCATTTTGCCGGCACTGAATGCCGATGACGATATGGCACTTGCTCTTACCAAATTGAAACAAACAAGAATTCCCGTTCATCGCACCGTCAAAGCATGCGTAAACAGTAGCTTGAACAAATATGATTTTAAAACGGCTATCAATCTGTTGAAAAATTATGAATGTTTCTACGCAAATCGTTTCATTACAGAAACCCTGTTGAATGCATATGCAACCACTGGTGATGTGCGGAATTTCGTGCGAATTGTTAAGATAATTTATGACAATTTTTCGAAAATCAATGAATATTACCGGGAGGCCACTCTATCTGATGCTGATGTAAGGAAGAGACAAATGACATTCGTTGGTGAAATGTTGTATTCATCGATTGCACACACGCTTACCGATGCGAAACGTTTGGCACAATTGATGCATGCATTCATTGCCGAAGGTTTGACCACAAGCCCGAATCAAATCCAAAAAATCCAACAGCACCTTCTCAAAGTGGATGATCAATTGCAAATTGGTCGTTTACTCACACAACTAAGCGCACACAAAATGCAATTGAAGCCAATAAACGCAAAACAACGGGGCGATATGGGCCAGCAGCAAAGTTCCATTGAACTGCAAAGTATGTTGGATGAACAGCGATCGTTGGGCCGAAATGTGGCCGGCACAGAGAAACTATTGTTTCTCGCTCATATTCGTGAAGGAAATGTTTCGGAAGTGGAATCAATGATGAAGTCCAGCAGTACATTGAATATCACGAACGCAAATTATGGCATGTTAATCGATTTGTATGGACGTATCGGTAATTTGGAAAAGGGTTTGAATGTCCTAAAACAAGCTTGCGCAAAAGATCCATCATTCAAATTATATCCAATGACAACGGCACGGCTCGTCACGCTAATGTATGAAAACAAATTTAGTTTCGATGAAATGGAAGCGCTTTTGTATACACAACGCCAGGATAAAGTTATTCTAAATAATAATGTCCCATTCGAACAGTTGCTACAACGAATGGCTGCTGATGGCCATACACAGATGATTGAACAGTTGTTCAGTGCGCTTATAAAATTCAATTACATTAAAGCGACGGTCGATACGACTGGACCTTTGATTACCGTACATTTGAAGATTGCATCGTATGACAAAGCCGTCGAAAAATATGAATATCTTGCAAAAACGTACAAATTTATGCCAATGTCAGTGGTTTTATTCAAGGAATTAATTCAAAAAAATCAAAAAGATTTGTTAGGACGTGCTTTCAACACCCACAAATCGGTTCATGGTGAAAGTGATGCCGTAAGTCGGCTGGCTTTTGCGTACAGTGAATGTGGACAGGTCGACGAGGCAAAATTACTGTTTGCAAGTAATCGCATCCATGACATCACAAAAGAAGTTGGCAAAGTGTGCCGAGTGTATACAACAAGTGATGACATCGAATCAGCGAGAATCCTATTGAAATCTACAGCAGGTGTAGCCTGTGATCGTCGTATAATTTACCAAACTGTTTTGGATATTTATTACAAACATAGTATGGCCGAAAAAGCCCTGGAATTGTGGACAGAGATTTCAAACGATAACATTTTACCCACACCGAATTTCATCGATAAATTGGCCGAACTGTTAAAGGCCAACAACATAGAACTTCCATCCGATTTGGAAACGAAAATAACAGCTAATTTTAAAATTCAATCAAAGAATCGTTAACTATTGAATTGTTTTTTCTTTCAATTAAGTTCTGCATTGTTAGTGTAAATAAAGAGAAAATGAATGAAAACCACAAACTTTTTTTTTTGAAAATTCCACAGAAAATATTGTTCATTGATCAGTAAGCAGATGCACCGTTTTGAACTGGATTATTTACGATTGCACAAAAATTATTTGAGCAGTGGCTGAAAAAGGTGAAGTTTGTTAAAATCATTTCCATATATGTATCATCGACCGAAATGATAATTTTGAAAAGAAAGATTTTTTTTTTTAGCTAAGAAGTTCACTCACATAGTCACTCCTTTCCGTTCATCACTATAGGGAAGGAGATTTTTAAAACACGTACCATTGTTTTCAAAAATACAGTTACATTTAATTATATTAGAATTATACATGTATAATCTAGTAAAAACAAAATAAAATACATTCTTGATTCTAGATATACAAACACACAATTAATTTAAAATTGAAATGACAAAATCGAGCAAAACAAAAAAAAAACAAAATATTTACATAAATCCAAAAAGAAAATCGAATACAAATACGAAATAAAAAATGGTTTCAATGACAAAAAAAATGTTTGTCATAACAATATAAGATCATTTTTGGCAGGAGAAAAACTCCCGTGATTTTTGAACAATGTTTCAAGAGAAAAAAAACCATGAAATTTGATACAATTTCAAATCGGACGAATGTGTGAATGAAAGTGATGGAAAGTTGTTAAAAAATATATGAGCACAGCACGTTTCTTTTCCGTCTATTTTTTCTTCGCGTATTTATTGCGTCCCTTTCGTCGTTTGCCACCGGTTGATTTTTGTGTCGTTTTCTTGTTATACATTTTATTTCCACGGTTGCCATTTCCACCCAGACTATTTACCGATTTTCGTGGTGTTGGCAATTGTTGTGCTACCAATTCGGCTAAAATTCCTCGTTGCGCAAGCATCGATAAAAATGTACAAATAAACTCGTCATAATTGTGGGTTGACTAAAAAAATTTAATGCAAAAGTATCCGAATAATTATTATATTTTTTTCTTCAACAATATATTCAACGCGTTCGTTTAATATTCTTTCTGACTTGGACACCATTTGTGTTTATCATTACGACAAACTTGTTTGAATGACATTAAAACGTACAGATTAATAAAGCCAATGACTGAAGTAAAGAAGCAATTTATCTGTCAGTTGTCCAATTCGTATTGAATTGAATGTGATTTTTTTCGCATAATATTGGAAGAAAAACTACATTGAATATATAAATATCTACCTTGATATTTATTTCCCTAAAACATCGAAAAAAAATTTTTTTTGTTCTAATTCCAGCGTTTTTTTTTCTTGTGTATCATCATCGATTAAATATGAAATTTTTCCAAAGAAAAAAAAAACAAACAGTATAAAACACACACAGAGAAGAAGAAGAAAAAGCGAAAAAAAGAAAGAAAATTGAGATTGAGTCTAAGTATAAGTAATAATCCTAATTAATATTGATTAAATTGTGTTTAGAAAAAAGTGAAGGAAAATTAAAAACAAAAACGAAGAGGAAAAAAGATTGAATTCTTTTGTGAAGGTACACATCAATGGTAATATTTACGGTTATAGTGTGCAGTTTTAATATGCTACCCTTTCCACTGTTCACTACGCCTACTAGCTGCAATATTGATAAAAAAAATTTGTAGTAATAACAAAGAAAGAAAAAAAATTATAAGAACAAAAATAAGTCCTAAAGAAAAAAAAATATCTAACCCCTTTTCAATGTCATTCAGTTCAATTTGAATTTGCTTTCAATTGCATCCACATTGATTTCGATCCACTGTTCGATGGATGCGAATGTTGGCGGGGCGGGTTTAAAATTGGTTTACATCGATTCAACCACACACCAAGCAGAAACAGTCATGTGGGCGTGTGTGTGAATGAGGTAAGGTGTGTATACCAATTTCCCCAAAGTTGGAATAGCGAAACAATATTTCAACGAAATATATGCAATGAAACCAACGTTAAACACCGTCAACTAATCTACATCATAGCAAAAACCAAACAAAAAAAAAGCATCTCTGTGGGGTTGCGTTGTATTTCGCACTGAGTTAAATATTTTTACAGCCTTCACCACATATATACATTCTTGAATATAATATGTAGATTTTTATTAAATTGAATTGAATAGTTTTGGTGGATGTTACAATGATCTTTCTATCATTTTTTTTGTTGTTGCATTTATTTCTCGCAAACCAAATGGCTCTTTTTCTATGGTAAGCGTTTATTTGTTGCAAAACATTGTTTGCATTTTTTTGTTTTCATTCAGTTAGCCAAATTTCACGTGCGCGCCCAATTTCACGTTCGATTAATGTGTGACAATTTGTGACGATGCACGTGAGTGTGTGTGTGTGTGTGTATGACTCAAATCAAATGATTATGATGACAATTTATCTGTATCTATGTCCAAGGTATACATCCACTGACTAACGGCATACAATGATGCATGCATTCGGATCTTTCGTTTCTTTGCAAATGCACAACGAATCTCTATAACAATTTATTTTGTTTTTTCTTCTCCATTTTGTAATATTTAAATCCTCTAAAATATTCTATGCATGTCTCGTGTGCAAGTACGAACTTTCTATCTTCATATAATTTTTGTTATGGTTTTCTTTCCCATTTAAGTTCTTTGTAATTTGAATTTCAAAATTCTTTCATGCTAATAGTAAACAAATAAAATGATATTGATTCTTACAACATTCGTCTTTAGCCCTATTTTTGTTGGTTTGTTTTGTTTTGTTGCTTTCTCGATAAATTCCACGGAACGGTTGTGTTTATTTTATCGAGATTTCTCGCAAACGAGAGTTGTTATTTTTTTTACCCATTAGCTCGTAATTTTCTTGTAATTATTTCCAATGGAGTCGTTATTTATTCCGTCGTTTTTTAAGCACACACTCTGCGGGTGTTTTGATCGATTTGTTGTTTGAATGTGATTGAGTGAGGGTGTGTGGTGTGCGGTAACAAAAACCGTCCTTATTCAGCAAACCACAAATTGGTTGGTTGATAATGTCCATGCTTGCTTGGCACTTGAGCCGGACTCAATGGGCCAAACTGGCTGTATTGGGCTGGGAACTGAATATGGGCTGGCAATGGATGATGCGCTGGCAATACCTATTTTCAAATTATTCAAGATTAAATACGTGTTCCAATGACGCGAATAAAAGGCGAATCAAAACTAAATTCATAGAATTGTATCATTTGAAAAAGTAATTTACTTGGCGATTTGATCCATTGTGAGCAGGTGGCGGCACCACACGGTTGTAATTTTGATACGGAGCCTGAGACACGAACACCGTCGGTCGTCGATACATTTCATTTTGCGCATATGTTAAATCCTGTTGTAAGATTCCTGGCGAGCCTCCGAGCGGCGTATTCGACTGATGTGTTTGACGGTACATAGGCGCTCTGGCAAAAAGATAAGAAAAGAAAATTCGATTAAAATTATGGGATTAGAAATATTTTAGACCAACAATTTATTTGCAAATAACCTAATACTGAAATATTCTTGTTTTATATTGGGGCAATTAAACAATCTAAATGAATTTCGATGGAAAAAAATGCGAATACCGATAACAGACGCTAGCAAATCGACACAAAATACCACACACTCTGATCAAACAAAAATCATTTCGGAAAGAAACTCAAAGTAACTTATCATATGGCTCCGTTTTGTATGCGAGAAACGAGAGAAAACGAAAATCAGAAGAACCAAGTGGAATGTGGAATAGTCATTTATATGACCATCAACAACGGCAACAATAAAATAAAATATAAACATATTGACTGACGCACACATGCACCGCAGACAGGTAAACGCTTTGTTCTTCACACCATAGATAAATTGCCACAATATATTTTAAATGTAAGTTAATTGACACATAACAGCCAATGCCATCTCAATTCCAAACGGTTAAATTATAGAATTTTTGGCAACTTTTTTCAATCGAGTGAGACTTTGCTAGAATATAGTCAACTTTACGGCGACGTTAACAGCTTCTCTGTGGACTGTTACTGCGCGTTACATAAATCGTATTGAAGTTTTGCAATGGTTACCCGATGCATTTGCCAATATACTATGTTGTGTGTGCAGAGAAGCTGCTAGTGTTGATTATATTCAACTCAAGCCACACACGGTTGAAAAGTTACTCGAAATATTCAATGATTCAATTGTTTGGAATTGAGATGGCATTGACTGTCTTCTATTGTTCTGGCAATTTGTGTATGCTTCACACATTCCACAAAGGTAGGAGAAGAAGGAGAATAACTAGATAAAAACAACACGACTGAACAACGTAAAGTGACGCACAGGTAAATATGCATTGTAACCCTGTAACGCTTGACGTTGTCGTATGGCAACGTTCGGAGGCTATTGTCTGGACAAGAGATAGAAAAAGTTTTAGGCGTTGTCGGGTTAAAATGGTTTTGGGCATTTCAATGCATTTCTTTACATATTTAGCATTTGAGCATAGTTCAAAGGATCGATTAGTGGGAGTAGGAATCTCAAGCACTGAACACGTAGTACGCAAGTATGGAGAATATTCTAATTTTCTTTTTATTTTCTGTATTTCTGTTTGGACATATTCAATCCGAAAGTTTTAATTTGTTAAAATATTACGAAAATTCGGTGGATGCTCTTATTTCTGATGGACTAAAAGGTATAAATTTGTATACGATCCAGAGAAGCGAATTCGATTTTGAGACGATTTTTTTTTTAATTTTCAGATACAAAATATTGTCAATCAATTTTGTTACCCACAGAACACATATTGAAAAAAACGCTAGACTCAACGTTTGTCAAATCAAAAAGTGGTGCAGTGTTGAGTGAAGTTAATCGTATAGATTTGTGTTGTCGTTCGCTTTATAAATGTAATGCTCACAAATACAACGAACTGAACCAAACCACTGCATGGAACAGTGGAATTCGCCACTGTGAATGCGTTAATTCGTTTAAAATATGCTTGAAGAGTCTAAATACTTCATTATCAAATAAATTCGATTTCATTCACTCTATAAATACTACAAAATGCTCTTCAAATGATCATCCAATCATCAAGTGCACTGCATTTGAAAAATATTCTGACAAATTGTTGCAATTATCCAAAACTATCAATTCGAACAACAGAGAAAAATACTTTAAACGTTGCATTAAGTATGAATCGGACCAAAATCGAGAAAAGCAATTTCAAATTTTCGATATGCCCTTCAATGAAAACGAGATGTTCACAACTAGAGTTTTTCTTTTAAAAGACCGTCAATCAGGTAGGTTTATTTGTAATAAATAATTAAATATTCAGCCAAAATATTGTCATGCTATGTTTAAATCTTCTTATTGAATTCATTAAATTGATGACAATTGCAAATTGATGACACTGAGTGCATAATGTAAACAAATTTTCTGTCTTATCACTTTGTCACATAACCTCAAATGCTGTGTCAGTTTTTTTCTTCGCCAAATCGTTTAATCAGTCCAAGTAACTTCTACCGCGAAAACGAATTGTTCAATCGAAATGAAAATCAAAATTTTTATTCTCGTCACCCCTTTAGTGTTAAAAGGAATGATTGTAGACAGTAAAATTATGGACGAATTGGACAAACTCGACACGAACCAAAAATTTAAAACCGAAAAAGAGGCCGCAAAATTTGTTTTTAAGGTGATGCAAATCGTTTCATCGATCGGATGCGAGGTTTTGGACACATTTTTTGAAGGTAAATAGCTTGTTTTCAATCGATTTAGTATTTTCGTGTTGTACACTTCTTCGTTCTATCATACTAGTGATTATGTTGTTATTTTTCCATATGATTTTAGATATGGGGTCGGGTATTGAGGAAGTGAAAAATCATTACGATGAAGAAGAACTCGAGGGAGGATACACCAAAGTTCAGTTTGCCATGAAGGTGACGGAAATACTGATCAAAGTGGCGTGTGAAAATCTCAATATTATCAATGGTAATAGGAGAAAAATTGTGATTTTCTCTTTGGGATTCAATTGACAACCAGATATTTTTTTCTTCATTTTAGCCGGTAGCTCAAAACCACAACCATTGCCATTCCCATTCAACTTCTATGCTGGCAGCAACCCGAGCATCAACATTAACTGTCCACTGAACTAGGAAGATGGATCGCTGCGCTAGCCCATTCGAAACATTGAATAAATTGTTGATTCGGAAAGCGTGCAAACTGCCAAACCATTAAATTTTCAAAAATAGTTACATTTAATTATATTAGAATTGTACATGTATAATCTAGTAAAAACAAAATAAAATACATTCTTTATTCTAGATATACAAACACACAATTAATTTAAAATTGAAATGACAAA